AACATGTGGGGGCTTGGGTACTTAATTTGTTGAAATGGACATTTTTGGTGTTAAGTTGGTGTAAAAATGATGTATAATGACCCCTAATGAATTTCATAAGATTTAATAATCAACTTAAACCTTAAAACATGTGTTTATATGAGTTTGGGGGTGTTTACCAAGCAAAAAAATGTGTTTATGGGCAACAGTATCAATAGTGGATAAACTGGTATCGATAATGTTCATATCTTGGGTGAAAAATTGGTTTTCTAGGTCTCGGTATCGATACTGGATAGACTGATATCGATATTGAGAGTTGTAGTATCGATACTGTTAGTATCCATACCGGATAAATTGGTACCCATACTGAATGACTAATATCCATATCGGATGAATTGGTATCCATATTAAAGATTGGGTATCCATACTGATGGTTTGGTATCAATACCCAAAGTAGTTGAGTAACTTGAAGAGGTCAAATAGACTCAAGAGTGAGGATTTTCATATCGTTTGAGATCGAGCATCTAGCTCGAGTGTGGGAGGTTACTAAAATACCCTTAGAGGCTAAAATTACCAAAATGCCCTTATGGGCCTTATTGAAGAAAATAATGCATATGAGTAATAGCTTGAGTTGTATATTAGTTAAATAATAATATGAGACATTTAGCTCTATGAAGAGAGGGTGATCATGAAGATTTAGTAAGAACATTATAAATTAATAATATAAGGGTTTTTAGATAGGTAGTATCGATACTCTGTTAAAGAGTATGAATATTGTTCGTCTAGTATCGATACCAAAGGGTGAGGTATCAATACCATCATTATGTCACAAATTTTAGTAGCTAGATTTGGTATCACTACCTAGGATGGTATCAATACCCTAACAGAGAAGTACCGATACTCCAAGTAAGGGTATTGGTACTGCAAGGCCTCTTCAGATCACAAAACACAGATTTAGTATAGGTACCTAGGGTAGGCAACGATATTGAAGAGTCGATATCGATACTAAAGGGATTAGTATTGGTACCATCGTACTGAATTGGGCAAGAAAATCAACTTTAACTTGAAGTCTCAGGAAGGGGTTTAGGACTAGCAAAACTCCTCTAATGAACTGACAAGTGAGAACAATGAATGAATACAATAAAAGCCTGAGAACTTTATGCAGTAAGACGTCATAAAACTTATGTCCTTGGTTAGATACTCAAGAAATAATAGGGATACCTGAGTTACTTATGCTTGACTATAGAGTACAAGTCGCCCCTCTAATTCAAGGGTGAATCAAAGGAAAGCATGATGAGAAAAACTAGAGTGTTGCCACTAAATAACAAACTCGAGTCGAACATCAAACTAGTAGATAATACAACAAGTGAATAGTAGTAACAACATTTGTCATAAAATCATAAAATGCCCTTTAATATTAATGAACATAACAAATATGTTTAATGAACTAATAGATATAAAAGACTAATAAGCCCTTTTATAATGTTCTAAAGGAGAGAGGGAGCTAGATGGTAGCGGGTGAGGGGATTACTTCACCTAGTTATGTTAAGTTATGATATCGAGTAGTCTAACTACCTTATTTGTCCTTGTGTAGCATTGATTGATATGTGCGGCCTATGGCCACCTATATATGTTTGCATGTACATGGTGATTGGCTTGTTTGTTAGAATATATAGATATATAGCTCAGCTAGTACGCAAGGCACTTCAGTTGCTAAATGGGCGTAGATGCCCCAAGACTCGACGGAGTAAGTTAGTCGAATGTATGTTTCTGATGTGGAAATTCCAGATCTCACCCTAGATATACTCATGATGACTACCTGAGATTGCTAGGGGTGTATGTCTCAAGATGTGGCAAAACCCTTTGACTACACCATGATGCCTACCTCAACTTGTGTGTTTGATGATTGTGTGTTGCATATGATGATGTATAGTATCATGATATATTGGTTAGAGACTAGTGCATGTATACTCATGGTGATTCCCTTAGTATTAGACCAAGGGAAGCATGAGACTTAAATCATTATGACAGTGGATGTACCTTGAATAGATGATTTAGTAGCTTGATGGTACATTAGCATTGCTTATCTGATTATACTTGTTAGCATGCTTATTTTATGAATGCATGTAGTTTAGTAGAGGTATTGTTTGGCGCGGGGTTTGCGAGCTCGGCGTTCGGAATGTGTTTTTTTTGCAGGTTTCAAGTTTCGTGAAGTGCGTTGGGAAAATGATATCATCGGAGGAGTCTCAGCGGAGTACCGGAGTATTGTGAATACAACTTAGTGGTCATGTTTTAAAACGAGTCAGCTTGTAACATTTCAATTATATATTTATTTATCGAGTTTCTAAATTAGGATCCCACTTTTGTAAATGATTATGGTTTCATACTTTATGTAAATGTTTTTAAAGTGAGTATATTTTCACTGTAAAAAAAAAGAATGATTAGTCCCTTTGATGATTCCGTATGATGCTTGAATCCTTGGGATTTGGGTGTTACATATAGTAAAGGTAGAAATCTCATGAATAAACTTATTCTATTTTCACAAACTTTTTAAAGAAGATTGTTGTCCTATTCATCATCTCCATCAAATCTAATTTGTTTTATTGTCAAGTTGATTTTTTTTTATTTCTGCTTTATAAACTAATTAGTAAAGTTTTTTTAGCTTCATCATTTGACATTAAGAGAGAAATTTTAATGAATCTAGACTAGTTATGTACAAAAATAAAAGAAAAAAATAATGAAGTTAACGTTTCTCACCTTTATTCTTTGTGTTCTAAAGTTTTTAGATCTATATGACTAACAATAAAAGTTCAATCTATCCCTCAATAATTGGTTTGAAAGGTCGTCTAACATGTTTTACCTCAATATAAATTTCACGTTTATTAAATTTATTGTCTAAATTAAAAAACAAATCCATATAATTTAGTGTTTTAAGGGAGAATCTGCTAGCATATCACCTATTAAAAGGCTCAATAGTATAAAAAAAGTAATCATATTATTAATGTCTCAATTAAAAATAGTCTCTCACTCATATAATCTTTTCTCACATAATCTTATTTATGAGAATATACAAATTTATATAGTTCACTGATTAATTTAATCCTTGTTTTGTTTAAAAGTTCACCCCTAATCAAGTTTTTACGTAAAATATGTACAGAACATTACCCATTAACGCTGGAGATTTTTTTGGAAGTAACTTTAAGTCTTTTTCTTATTGATTATTTTTAAGTTACTAGAATTGCATATGTAGTCTTGTTCACCTTCAATTACATTATCGAACTTGGTGAAAATGTATTAGCACATAAGTATTTGGGAGTGCTTGTGTCTACTACGCACTCAATATTATATCAGATTGACCTTCAATATCACAACGATGATCACCTATTTTGGATCTTCAATTAAGTGTGCTTGTAGTTTGCTCTCACTTTGGTTATGATTCCAAAGGTGGTCTTAGTGCCGAAAACGTTGGTATACTTTATGTTTTCACTTGCCAAATAAAACAACTCATTAGGTTTTTGGACTTTCGAATTTTTTTTTCTTGGTTTCTAAAAGTTAGCAAGCTTTTTGAGTTGAGATTTAACACTCTTCTTTGGGTTGATAGTATTCCTAAAACTTGTTATGTGTAGGACTATAAGAAGATTTCCAAGGTTAGCCATAAAACATAATTAGTTTGCAACGATATAAATCTTACTTTTAAGGTGATTAGTATTCTCAATTTGTACGTGGCAAATTAGCTCCTCCAAGATGTCCCGCTTCTTGTACTTAAGATTATAATAGTCAGACCACAATTTGTACGATTTCATGATCGGTACATTTTTATAGAGAATTTTGTTCATTTTCATCCCTTCAGTTAGGATGTCAGAGACCGACTTCTTGTTGGTGTATGCTTGGCCTATGATTGATTTATCATCAGTCATGCGAAACTTAAGCTATATATTCTTCAATAGCGTAATTCTTGATATTAGCATCAAACTGCTCCATATTTCTTTTCCAAAATATCCTAGATGGATCTGGTATACTTGTCTTTCAAAAAATAGTTCCTGATTCATACACCAAAATAGGGAAGTTGAAATTCAAAGAGTGTTGTTTTTTTCTTGAAGAAGAATGAGTAGTAAACTGAAGAAGAACCAAAACCCAAAAGGAGAAGCATATTGAAAGAGAGCAAATGCTTCAAAGTGGAGAGCGTAATGCTTCAAAGAGAGAAGAGCATAATGCTTTGAGATGATTGTACAAGTGGACTGGTGAGATGCCTCATTTTATAGCTCAAGTGGAGACCCATTCTTATCCAAGATCAATTGGACGGTTTTTTCTTTTAAATATCCTCACCACCACTCCTCCACTTTTTCATATCCACACGCATTAGGTTTGAAATTCAGAAAAAACAAATAAATTAAAATTTTAAGAAACTTCTCACATTTTTTACAATAATTATTTAACTTCTCACAGCTGTTTCAGTACGTTTATAAGAAAAATTGACTTTCACTAAACGAGTTTGTCCATGGCTGGATGCAAGAAGCTCAGCAATCTACTACTTCACTTTATTATTTTAAAAGACTGTAATTTTTAAATGTAATTAAATTATACATAAATGAATCCATTTTCAGAAAAGATTACATTTAAAGAACCTATTTAAACTCGTTTATACATTTAAAACTCCAATTAGTTGTTTCACTGCATTTGCATTTGCATTTTATGGACAAACTAGTTTTATGCAACTGAATTTGGCTCTGAACATAAATATACTTGACTTGTAAGATTAATTAAACTAGTTTAAATTTCAAACTTAAAGTTGAGTATGGGATTGAACTCATTATTATAAGCTAAAATAGTATCCCCTACTGAAATTAGCGCAATATTTATCTCAAATAAACAAGCCTTTACCATGAGCCTTATTTATACGATCTTTCGGCATCTTGCTCCACTAGTTACGGCAATCTCGCTTTCTTTGTTCATCTGACGATCATGATTGCTTCTAAGCCACAGATAAGCTGTCAACTACAATCTCTTAAACATGACACATATGAACAGTACCATACATATACTCATAAAATACATATGTTAATACTCCTGTACACTTCTCGTCAGAGGATTAGATTACAATGGACAGAACAAGTGACCAACAAAATTTTCTACAAATGCCTCACTGACCTTTCACGGAGAGTCCGTATCGGATTGTTTTGCTTGCATATGTCTTGATAATATCCAAACACACATTAATTGTCCCCTCAAATTCCATTCATAGAATCCAATTCATAAGACACATTACAATCTTGAACGACGATTGCACTTGATACCAGGGAAAAGTGAATGCCTACGACTAGACACTCCCTTTACTGGACCTGAAAATCTAATATCCCAGCCTTCAATGTTCTTGGGAACACAAGCATCAAACAGAATTTGGCCAAGGACACCATGAGCACTGATGCTTGGGGGAGCAGGTATAGAGATTAGACTTTCTCTTTGCTCATCTTGTACAGACTCGGACTCTTTATTATGGTGATATCCAGCTGAGCTAGGCAAGAAAAAGTGGTCACTAGGACCAAGTGCAACTCTCCTAAAGCTTCGGTTTGAATTGACTGCTGCTTCCTGCAGGTCAAAGACTAACTCAGAGATCTCATCAGTCATACCATTTCTATCTCCAAGCTTTTGGATCCTGCGGAAAAATATTGAAGTTGCCTTCTCAAGAAAACTGGTCACGGAAGCCCTGTATTGGATAGGATAATGCTTGAAGTGTTCTGAAATAGCAAAGAATCACATTAGGTCGGTCTTCATGCATCGCAAAAGCAGAAGTAACTGAACTATTCAAAACACAGAATATGCATGCTTGCAATTTAGAGCAAGGTAGCCCAGGCTTTTCAAAGATCTAGAAGAAGATAACAAAATATAAGCCGTGGCCTGTGAGTACATAATGAAACTGCCAATGTCTTCACTTTCTTATTGATCCAGCGTGTATTTACTCCAATCAATACCCTTAGTATGGGGTTGATAAGCATAGACATGATGTTTGGTTAATCAGCCCTTCAGCTGAATTGCCTAGGTGAATATAAAACCTCAATGGGAAATGGTAATTTAGATGGAAAGAAACAGTCAAAACTTGATCTTATGATAATTGACAAACATGGCAGTTCAACTTTTAGTGCCAGATGAACCAGTAGCATTTTCATCATCAGCTGAAGGTAAAAAACCATAATATAGTTTGTGCAAATACTCTTGTATAATTAATGATAATAATCTATGGAAGCTATAATAATTGGTAGTAGTTACAAACCAAACGTGGTTTGGGGCAGACCTAAATGAGCAGAGCCACTCCACTTAACAACCTTAATATCTGCACCAAGATCTTGCAAGCATCGAGCAAAGTTGCTGATAACTTGATATGATGCAAGATAATCATTCTCCGAGCATAAAATCAGATAAGGAGCATCTAAGTCCTACAAAAAGTTTGGAGGAGAAAATTAATGAAGGAACCATACCAAAAACAATTTAACAAGGTAGAAGGTTTATTAACTCACAACTGAGGAATAAAGGGTCCGCCAATAATCAGCACGTTGAGATTCGAACTCAGTTAGATAGAGACTATCCAGACCAGAAGCAACACCTTTAGCAATCCAAGAAAGAAGTTTGGATGGTCCAGGCATTTTACGTATCAAGGGGTGTAAAGCAAATTGGGCATTCAAATCACTTGCAAAATCAACCGGACTAGAATCATAGATTTGTCCGGAAACACAATTCCTAATGAGCTGGCTTCCATCCTATACAAGATTAAAAAAATTACAATAGAACTTTAGTTGAATTTATAAAAAGTAGAGATTTTAGAGAAAGGTTATTATGAATAGAAAATCATTACAAGAAACTAAGAGAGAAAGAATGATACCGAATTTAGGTGGCCTTCTCCTATTCCTTCAATAATCTACATAAATAGCTAAATTATTGCAACTGCAACAACATATATATAAGAGCACAAAAAGCGTCCAACTGATCTGAAATTGGAATAGGTACGATAATGTACCTGTAGAACCTTGTACATACAAGCCTTAGGACCGCCGGAAAAAGCAACAAAGACTACTGGACATGTTCTGATCTTTAGCACCTGTGAAGAACCCAAAATCAACGGGAATTTTACATTTTAAGATTAAAATTTTCTTGCAACGCAAACGGAAACATCTTAACAGATGGTAGACCTTAAATGAAACTGACCTCCAGAAGCTCATTTAGAAGAACAAATGCTAAGGACATAGCCCTGTCAGGATAATATCTGCACAAAGAATGCAACATGAAAGTCTTAAATAGTACATTGAAAGAGAAAAAGAAAGGAATTGCCGAAAGTGCAACAAAAAAAAAAGGAAAGCTTAATATCTTAAGATTTGTCAAATTGTATCTACACATGTTAAATGTCTAAACTTTTCAAACCAATGCATGATTCATGCAGCCCAAAACTCCAACCCTTCCCACAAAGCCCTTCTTCTATACCATTATGTGTTTTATAAACATAAGCCAGCAACTTATCCTTCAAGCAGCAGTGAACATTCTTCTCAGCCATCATTTTGCACTAGATGATGTCCTCACTTTCAGGGATGGTCCCAGGGGGAGAGGGTAGGGGCAGTCACCCCCTTGAAAATTTTCAAATTCCTATATAATATTTGATATTTTCTTTATATTTTTTATTGAAAATATGTTTTCATGCCTTAAAATTTTATAAATTCGCCCTCTAATATACATAAAATCATAGTCCGTCCCTGCTCACTTTCCCACATCTTCTAAATTTCTAATTCCCCTCCTCAACTAGTAAATATCATCCTTCTTTTACAAACGATTAAGATTCTCTCCTAACTTAATCCCATGGAAATACCCCCAGTAACCCAATTATCACAGACATTATATGAAAAATAGAAGCAGATGCTGACCTATAAACACCGTTTCATGAGAATCCTGTACTAGAGTGCTACCAATAAAGAAAAAAAGGAAGTCTTAAATCTTCTTCTGAGTCCGATAAGATTTAGACAACTGAAACCGCTGGAGACTGTGATTTAGTTTCTAAGAAACCAAACATGAAAGTGAAAGAAACTCACAGGTTGAGAAAATGGGAACGAGAAACGAGGGAATTCCAACCGAGGGAGGAATACAAATCGACGTAATTTTGAAGGTGTTTTTCGTGAATGGAAACCCAAGCAAACATCACAGCTATTCCTTTAACTTCTTTGCCGTCTTCTTTCCTTCCCCAGTACACACTTCCGCCGCCCATCATGCTATTTTGCAAATCCAATTTTCAGGCAAATTAAGCAACCATCCTGAATTTGTGATAACCAAGGAGGGGAGATGCCATCTGCCACGTTGGATATTATGCACCCTCAGGCCCCACCACCAGCGCATTTTTTAGGATAATTTTGTTTATCATGTACACATCAACTCAAATTTCAAGTCAAATTATTATATTATTATTTTGGCTTAAATGAAAAATCAACCCTCAAACCTTCGGTACCTTTTGGGTTAAGTTAGAAGGGAGGTTAATGGGTTGGCTGATGGCTTTTTTGGCCCAATGGGGTCATTAGAATAATAATTTAGGGTTTTACCCATCATCCAATATTATTTAGGATGGCATTTACTACAGTGTTGGGCGAACTCGTCACCTCGAGGTGACAAATTTCACAAAATATTATTTTTTAATGGACTCGGATTAGTGGATCCCACATGAGCCGATAATTTATTATTTTTACTGGGACTCATCTCATCGGGATGAGGAGTCTATTAAAAAATATTTTTTGATTATTGAAAAATAATTTTAAAAATAGAATAAAAAAAGAGGGGAACTAGTCAAGGTGAGGAGTTCCTTCGAATTCAAAAAGCTAGACGTTGGTCAATGGGCAGTTGTGCAACAGAAACTTAACAATGATCACTTAGAACTCGTCACCTCGAGGTGATGAGTTTCGTGGATATTTTTATTATAGCCATTGGAATTGGGGCTATAAATAAGGGTTTTGGGTTTTGATTTTTCATTAAACCCTAAATCTAAAAATATTTTAAAAATTCAATCATTATAGGGATTGGGGTATTATAGGTTATTTCTCACTTCAGGGGTATTTTGGTCATTTTACAATTCAAGGGCATTTTAGTCATTTTTTCCATATAGTCTTTCCATTTAATTCAAACTTGTCATTTATTTTAGTTATTTCAAACAATTCTGACAATAAGAGTATTTTCGATAAGTTAGCCTTTGGGTGTATGCTCATAAATCAGAAATTCTGGGTCTGATTCCTTCTCGGAGGTTACAAACTTTTTATCATATATATTTCGAACAAAATATGAACTTAACATTTAACACATTAATTTATCGGATTAGATACGAATTTGTAGGGTACTTACTCAATCAGGGTTAATCCGTGTTATTTTTACATCTCTAGGGTAATTCTGTAATTTTTTATCTATGTATTTTCGTTTTTTTCAATATTTAATGAGAGTAATCATATTTTAAGGGTTAAGATGTTAAACGCTTGTAATACTCTAAATATCCAATCGGTGACCATAGTGAAAGGATTTAAAATTTGGTGGGTTAAATTGAGTAAATTGATAAGTATAGGGAATGTTTTAGGAAGTTGGGTTTAAGACTAAATATTAAGAATGGAAGAATGGAGGGGCAATTTAGTCCGTTTGAAGGAATGAATTTAATATTCATTTAAATGGGGTTATTTAATAAAAGTGAATAGGAATAGGGGATAAGTTTGAAGTGATTGTCTTCTTCTTCTCCTTCCTCACGTTCCGTGCCTCCCCCATAGCAAAGGAAGGCTTCATCTAGTTAGTTTTCCCTTTCATTTTTAGGTTGGTTTTGAAGCCTTAAGTGATATAGAGACTTAAAGAAAGTTCAGGGAAGATTAAAACTAAGAGATGAAAGATTTATTTGAGATTTATAAAATGTGTTTTTAAATGATTTGATGAAATAGGGTCAATTAGTGGAGTTTAAAAGCATATTTGATTTGTCAAAGAAGTAAATAAGAGATTTGGAGTCTTAGAAGTGATTAAAAACATGTTTGAAATTTGGGTGTGATTTTAGTTTTAAAGGGTTCTTTGGAGTTATTGGATGTTATAGGGAGATTTATGGATGTAAAACAGTTGGTTTGAATAAGGATGAGTTTAAGGTTATGATTGGTGATAAAAGTAATATATTTAGGCGAAAATGTTGTAAAAATCAAAGTGAAATATGTAAAATCTGGGTTAGGGTATCGATATTGGATTAACAGTACTGATACTATAGGTTTAAATTTGAGGAAATAAGATGAACACGATGAACAATATCAATACTTATGCAAGTAGTATCGATACTGAAGTGGGGTATCGATACCAAGAGGAAGGTATCGATACCATTATGGAAAAATGGATTCCAAAATACGAAAATGGTATTGATACTGAAGGGAGTATCGATACCATAGCATAGAAGTATCAATACCATAACATAGAAGTATCGATACCATAGGAGGGGTACCGATACTATTCAGCCTGGAATTTTAAGTTAGAATGAACTTTAATAGAATTCAAGAATAATAGTACTTTGAGTATTATTATTTTGTATAAATGTTAGAAAATATACTAACATTTGTATTGTATGTGTGTGAATATGGATGCTTGTGTAGATCGTACCCAAGCTCCTGAACCAACAAGCAAAAGAGTAAGGATAAAGTTGCCGAATAGTTGGACATCAATAAGGCATAATAGTGAGGCATACCAGGTGAGTGCATTTATTGTACTTATATGAGATGAGGGTGACCTGCGATGAGTCAACCTTGGACGTTTGTTTAAAGTATGTTTTACAGAATTTCAATATGTTTTCATAATGTTTATGGAAATTGATACAAGAATAATTGTAGAGTATTAACTACTCTAAAATGAATAGATGAACATTTATGTTGAGTAATCTGTTAAGTTGATTGAATAGCCCATTATATGTGCATTGAGAGTCATAGGTGCATTTCGACATACTTTGTGTATGATGATTATCAATCGATTTTGTTTAATGCATAACGGTGCATTTTCGTAATAGTATTGTGTGTACTTTTGGCATTAGATGTGCAATCATGGTATTCATAATGAGTTTATAATTTACCATTTCGATATACAATTATGTATAAAAGTTATCGATCGATTTTGTTTAATGCATAACGGTGCATTTTCATATCGGTACCGTATACTTTCGACATTATATGTACATCCATAGAATTCATAATAAGTTTGTGAATTTCCATTTCGGCACTTATGTGCAATGCATGTACCTTGCATTCTTATTTTGTATACATTGGGCAAATAAAGGATAAATTGAAAAATACTGATTGATAGGTATGCTGGGTATACTAAATATAGTTTATCAGGCTATTTGAATGAAGATTGGTTCGCCAAACCAATTTATGTATTGATATGACTTATACGATTTTCATTCGTATTTTGATATTTTATGATATGCTTATATTTAAGTATAGTTCATTTTGTTTTATTATGCTTCACTAGGTAAATACTTAGCATGTGTTGATTTCACATATAGGAAAGATTAAAGACTAGTGGAGTAAGGAGTGTAGTGGACATCATCAATCAAGTGTTGCCTCATCAGTAACTGTAGGACAGTTATGTCTATTGTTGATAATTAGCTGGCATGTATTTGGACTTATGAAAATGCTCTGGAATGTATTAAAGTTATAATTTTTGTAATATGTTATAACGAACGTTTTATTTCTATTTCATTAAAATGTTTTGTTTTGTTTTCGAAACACATTTTTATGGGTTTACAAATAAGAAAATGTTTTTAAAAGTTTTGTGAAACCTGTGACTTGTGTACGGAAACATATCCGAGAAATGGGTGTTACAACACTTCACTGGTTAACTACAGAGCTTAGAATTGTTTCTTATAACTCTTCTAATTTCTTATACCAGCAATCATAGTTTAATTTAGTTATTTACTTTTTGCCACTTTCAAATCGAGTTTAGAAATAATTAACTATACAAATGAGACCAAATATATTCATCCATGCACTCACCAATATAAACATATACCGTACAACATGCATAGGGTAGTAAAGTATTACCTCGATTCTCGAGCTACACCGGTCGAACATTCAAACTCTATTTGATTTCTCTCAAACTTGAATCCAACGTCCAATAATATATCGAATACATATAAATAGAAATTACATTAGAAACAGAGCTTAATTACAAAAAACATATTAGATCGGGAGGTTAATCAATAAAAATAGCTTATCGAGTTCGAATTTGGCGAAACAGACCTAAAAAAAGAACTTAGAACGTTAAAAAGCATAAAATTTAACTTTTTGAAAAATTTAACTTTTTGGTCAAAATCAAAGTCAATACTGGTCAAATTCAACGGTCAGTCAAAGTCAACAAGTTGACTTTGTTTGAGTTGACTCAATCAGGTTGACTCAGTGAGTTGACTCAGTTTGACCCGGTTCGGCCTAACTGGATCGACTCGGTCTGACTAGACCGGTTCCAGAAGGATCTTAGAGTGGCAGAGGAGCCCTACGTGCACTGTCAGTGCGTGGAGGTACGTACAGCGGTGAAAGAGGTCGGGGGCGACGATGTTTTCTCCAAAATCACCTGTTCATCACTTACAACACCAAAAAGCTCAAAAATCAGCTAAAAACCCTAACAAAACCCGAATTTAAGTGTTTGGAGGCTTACACACAGTGGGTAAAAGAAACCAATGATATCGATGTGACCCACCGATTGGGTTTTGAGCGGACGGTGACGGGAAGCCAAGCTGAGGTGGCGATGAGGCAAAAAGGCATCTAGACTGACTGAAAGTCATAGAAAACCGAGACGACGAGGGGATTTTAGGAATTTTCAAACATCTCTCCCTGACGAACGACGACATCTGGTGGAGAGTGGCTGGCAAGAGTTGGTTTGTGATGGCCTGGAGTGCCTGATGGGGGTGGTCATGATGAACACTGATCAGTGACGGTCGAGGTTTGAGATGGGTTACTCGAACGCTGATTTCTCCCTTCGTTGCAACAATCGATGGTCGTTTCGGGTAAATTGAGGGTAGAGGCCAGGTCAGAGGATGCTAGCGATTCTGTTGGCGGTGATGGGGTACACCAACGACAGTCGGAATGGGTGGATCGTAGAAGGTGATGGTTGGGGTTAGGGAAAAGATTTGGGGTCTTTTATGGTTGGTTTACGCTAGGGGTTGGAAAAATGGGTTATCACCCATTATTAATCATAAAATAAGATTTTTATTATTTCAAATCACCAACACTGACCTAGGCTAGATGGCTCAAGCATGGGTGGCCATCCTCTTGGTCATGGGTTCAAGCCTCCCAACCATCATTTATTTTATTTATGATGTCAGATGATATTTTTTGTTATGTGAAAAT